GAAGTTCTCCTGGATAATTTCCTGAAGAGTGGTTTCCAGCTTGGATCCATTTTCTCTGTCACATTCAGGTACACCTATCAAGCGTAGATTAGGTCTTTTTACATAATCTCATATTTCTTGGAGGCTTTGTTCGTTTCTTTTCACTCTTTTTTCTCTATTCTTTCCTTCTCATTTTATTTCATTGATATACTTTCTTCTGCTTAGTTGATTCAGCTATTGAAATTTGGATATGCTTCACGAAGTTCTTGTGCTGTGTTTTTCAGCTCCGTTAAGTCATTTATATTCTCTAAGCTGTTTATTCTAGTTGGCATCTCATGTAACCTTTCTTCTAGGTTCATAGTTTCTTTGCATTGGGTTAGCACATGTTCTTTTAGTTCTGAGAAGTTTGTTATTACCCACGTTCTGAAGCCTGTTTCTGTCAATTCATCAGATTCATTCTCCTTGCTTCTTTGATCCCTAGCTAGTGAGGCGTTGTGATCCTTTGGAGGAGGAGAGGCGTTCTGGTTTTCGGTGTTTTCATCCTTTTTGCACTGGTTTCTTCTCATCTTACTAGCTTTATCTACCTGTGGTCTTTTGTAGTTGGTGTCTGTCAGATGGGGTCCCTGAGTCGACGTCCTTTTTGTTGATGATGAAGTGATTGCTTTCTGTTTTTTAGTTTTCCTTCTAATAGGCCGCTCTGCTGCAGGACTGCTGGAGGTCCACTGAGTACCCTGCTTGGCTGGGGATCCCCTATGGGAGCTGCAGAACAGTAAGGGTTGCTGCCAATTTCTTGTTCTGTTATATTTGTCTGAGAAGGGTACCTGCCAGATCTCAGCCTGAGCTCTCCTTTATGAGGTGTCTCTTTGGGTATATGGGGGTCAGGGAGCTGCTTGAGGAGACAGTCTGTCCCTTATAGGAGCTCAAGTTCTGTGCTGGGAGCTCCGCTGTTCCATGCAGAGCTGCTGGGCAGGTACCTTTAAGTCTGCTGCAGTGGAACTCATAACCGCCTCTTTTTCCAGCTGCCATGTCCTACGAAGGTCAGCTATACTTATAGGTTCCTATCATGCTTCTGCCTTTTTTCAAAAATGCCCTGCCCCACACAGAGTAGTCTAGTCACAGTCTGCCAGCTGAGGCATTGCTGAGCTGCCGCGGGCCCTACCCAGCTGCTGTATGAACTGCCTCAGTAGTGGTGGACTGCCTTGGTAGTGGTGGTCACCCTTACCCTGACGGAGCTGGGCCGTCCTGGTTCCGGCTTGCTTGCTGGGAAACTCTCAATCCAGAGTGTTTCAGATTGCTTATTTTGTGGGGATAGTACCCGCCAAGCCAGATCGCCTGGCTCCCTGTCTGAGGACCCTCCCTTTCAGTTAAATGGTGGCTCTGTCTCTCAGGCGTTCTAGGCACCAGTTGAAATGGCTGCCCAGATTTGTGTGAGTTTCTGTGTACTAAGCTGTTACTGGCTGAAACCGCCATGCTGAAAATGGTGGTTTTCGGCCTGGAATCTCCTGGTCTGTGGGCAGTGAACATTTGTTTGGAAATGCAGTGGGCACTTACCCTCTGCGTTGTTCTTACTGGGAACTGCGCTCTGGAGTTCTTCCTATTCAGTCATCTTGGATCCTCAGCCCTCCACTTACGCTCTTGCCCTGGGCCCTGCAAATATTAGGGGTGAGCCTGCATGCGAGCTAATAAATATACCCTAATCACTGGCAATGTCAGGCCTCCAAGGGGAAGAATATGAACAACCCCATGATTCTGCACTTAGCAGTCTTAAGAACTTAGGTAACTCAATATATTGGAGTATCTGTTTCTTTGACTGGATGGAATAAAATTTTGTACAGGCCAGCCTAATTTACAGAGTGGTTGGAGAATCAAATAATGGGTGTACAATGTATTCTAAAATGTTGGCTTTTCTACAAATGTAAGTGCCATTATGAAGAGGAAAGGAACATATATTAATACAGGAAAGCTAAAAAATTTTCATGGTTGTAAAATTATCCTGTATATAGTTGAGGAAAATTATGGGTGGCCCCCTCCCCCATTTTGATTTATATAGTGAGGTAGTTATCAACACAAGGAAGCTTTATACATATATATTTTGAAAAGATTCATTTCACTGTCTAGAGAGTTATTGATTCACTGGAAGAGTTCTCACTTGGAAAATACAAGCTGTCAGAGCAAAGTGACCCTGAACCATCGACATTTAAACCAGAATTTCACTAGGAGCAGCAGCGTCAGAAAATAGAGGCTAAGAACAAAGCTGATCTGTTCATAGTTCTCTGAAATACTCACTCTCTGAAACTATGTAATTTTGGCCATTCCACAGGGATTAATGAGCCCAACAAAAAGGAAAATGCCTTTGCAGAGGCAAATAACATGAATACAATATTTTCATTGATGGAAATCAGCCCCCCTCCCCACCAAAAACAAATGCAGTTCCTCAGGCCTCTATAGCTAACAAATCTGTCTGGACAAATGGAATGTGAATTCTAGCCAAAAACATTTTGAGTGTATTTATGGTACTTTTCTGTTTTATATTTTGGTGGTTGACTCATTTTATCCCATCCAACATTATTAAATTAATTGCTTTCTAATTGATTCTTCAAAAGTGATTTTCCATTTGCATTCAGAAATAAACGTTCAACTTGTTCTAAGTGAAAGCTCAGTTTTTCCTGGGTCAGTTTGACTCACAAAAGGATGTGAGAGAAAACGGATTGCTTTTGATCAGAGGCATAGCTGCCTCTAAGGGTCACACCTCCCTCTTTCCTGCTCCTGATGCCTGCAAGAGCCCAGGCAGTACCCCAGGCAGAAATGTCAGGTTAATGGAAAGTTACTTGCAGCCTATGACAGTGTGCCTTGTTCAGCTACAGGTGACTGATAAGAACATGGACTTGAGAGCCTAACAGACTCAAGCCTGTGGTCATGAACACACTAATCTCTCTGAGCCTCATTTTGCTTATCTGTGAGTGGAGATATACCTCAAAAGGCTGCTATGGGGATTAGCAATAATGTAAATGTTATGACGCATACTTTGCATTAATAAGTGGAAGTTACAATTGTGATTTCCCTTCTTAGAGCACTGCTATGTTGTTAAAAGTTCAGCTGATATTTATTTTTCATAGCAAGACTTCCTGGATGAAGAAGTAGTGCCTTGATTTATATTTGAATGTAATTTCCTTATGTCATTGTGTAGTGGCACTTTCAGTAACATGCCCTAGAGCAGTAGAGGCAGAATAAAGCAGCAACAGCAGCAGCAGCAGAAGCTAGTGGTGAGAGCACTGGACTAGGAGTCATTGGGTAGCCTGTGCATTTAAGTAAATCATTTAACATTTCCAATTGTGTTTCCTTATCTTGAAAATGAGAGTTGAATTGAGGCTCAAAATAAAGATATATGTTTCCTTATCTTGAAAATGAGAATTGAATTGAGGCTCAAAATAAAGAGATATATATATATATATATATATATATATAAGCATTTTGAAAACTCTAAAGTGATTTATAAACAAGAGATAATTCTATGATTATAAAACTTTAGTCATTTTTCTGTCACCTTTTAATTCTAATTATTAGATGTCTCAAAAGTCTGACAGGGATTGGTATTCAGAGGTCCCAATTCTCATTCTATTTGAGCAAACTACCTTTTAAAAATATTTTTTTTATTTAAAATTTTTAATTGACAAATCTAAAAAGTTCATATTTATTACATTGTATAAAATATGATTTGATAAGCATGTATGTTGTAAAATGGCTAACTCGAGCTAATTAACATATGCATCACCTCACATAATGATCAATTTTTGTGGTGAGAATGCTTAAAATCTACCCTTTTAGTGATTTTCAATACAAGACATGTTATTAACAATACCCATCATGTTGTACAACAGATCTCTTGAACTTACTGCTCCTATCTAAGTTTTGTATCTTTTGACCAACATTTCCCAAGTTTCCACACATTATCCCTGGTAACCACCCTTCAACTCTGTGCTTCTGTGAGTTCAACGTTTTTAGATCTCACATATAAGTGAGATTATGCCATATTTGTCTTTCTGTTCCTGGCTTATTTCATTTAACATGATGTTGTCCAGGTTCAGATTCATCTATATTGTTACAAATGACAGGATTTCCTTTGTAAAGGCTGAATAATATTCCATTGTATACCACACTCTCTTAAACTTCTTAATTACAAATTTTTAGTCTATAAAATTATATTAACATTTATCTCAGATAGTTAATGTCAGATTAACTGAGATGCAATGTTTATGATAAACTATCACTAATAAACTCGAAAGCACAACTCAAATGTGGTTGTTTTTTTTTTTTTTTGCAATATTCCAGGGCAGACAGGGCAGTAGAGCATAATGAAAAATCTGTAGCATGCTTGCTTCCAAGCCCCACTTTCCCATAGTAGACCTTGCTAACTAATTATGGCACCTGTTCCCACCAACTCACAATGCAATCTCATCTCAGATCCTTTCTCTCACAGTTCTCCAGGTGAACCCTACTAGGTGATCAAGGTTGGTTTCAGGCTGAAGCATGGTGTTCTTAAAATATAGGAATTCTGAGTTAGAATATCTGGGTTCAGACCCTGATTTTTTACTTACTAGCTACTTGATAGAGGGAAATTATCTTGTTGAGTTTAAATGTTCTCAACTATAAAAATAAGAATGATAAAACTGATCTCCTTGGGCTGTTATGTGGATTCAATTAAACCATGTATGCAAAGGACATCTAATATGTGGTTAGACGTTAGGTTTCTTTTCTTCTAGTTTTGTCCATTTCTTAAAAATGTCAACCCTTATTACATTGTTGCTGATGTGTTCCTGTCAAGTTAAGGATGGCTCGTGGGTAAAAATCATCAGATTTCCATGCGCATACAACCCACAGTATTGAAGCTAAAATTGTGTAGAAACCAACAGAGTGCTTATGTTACAAGAGTCTGCTGGGAATTAAAAAATAAAAAACCAAACATTTTTAATACTGAATGATTACAAATGTTTTCTTATTTATTTCACTTATTTATTTTTTAGGGTGAACGTGGGGAATGTGGTAAACCAGGAATAAAAGGTGACAAAGTAAGGAACATGTTTTTAAAATGCTTACAGCTGTGATCCCTTTTGGGTTGCGTTTCCTTAAGGGGAAATTCCTGTGCTGAATTATGGTGATCTCACTACTAAGTTGGAATCAATGGCTCAATTTTTCACGTCTGTAAAACATGGTAGAAAACAAAGTGATGCCTAACTCAAAAATGGAGCCCCCAAATGCCTTTCTTATGGACCATTAAGACTTTGTGATACCCTAACCTTGGAGGCCACACCTACTGAATGTTATGGTGAAAAGAATTATTTAACCAGGAAAGTTAATTCAAGCTGCAGTTCAGTCAGAGTAGAATTGCTTTCCAGATGTGAACACTGAGAATAGGCACTTTCCAAAAGAGTGTGAAGAACTCTGAAATAAGTCAGTGAAATAGTTATAAACAGTGTAGTGCAACTAGACATAGAGATTTGGAATTTTGAAAATGTAGACATAGACAATTAGATAGATATTCACCTTTATTTAAAAAATAAATATAGGCCGGGCACAGTGGCTCATGGCTGTAATCCCAGCACTTTGGGAGGCCTAGATGGGTGGATCACCTGAAATCAGAAGTTCGAGACCAGCCTGACCAATATGGTGAAACCCCATCTCTACCAAAAATACAAAAATTAGCTGGGCATAGTGGCATGTTCCTATAGTCCCAGCTACTCGGGAGGCTGAGAGAGGAGAATTGCTTGAACCCGGGAGGCAGAGGTTGCAGTGAGCTGAGATTGTGCCACTGCACTCCAGCCTGGGTGACAGAGTGAGACTCCATCTCACAAAAAAAGAAAAAAAAAAAGCACTTAAATTTGGAAATAGTATTGAGTATGTTAAAGAGTTCCTCAAAAGGCCAAATATATACAGAGATTATATCTGAAATATAATGTTAAAGGGTCCAAAAAAATACAGCCAAAAATAAATAGTTTTCATTACAGTTAAGAACTATTAACATCATGCCACCAAGATACCAAACTTTTTCAGTTTCTATGTTATAATTCTGGAACGGCGTCAAGGAGAGAAAATGAGGCAGAAAATTAGGAGAAGAGGGGGAGATAATGACATTGGCTCATGGAACTAAACACTTTAAATAGATTGAGACTTTCTGAATGCTTTTAAACTACTGTAGAGCTAAAGTTCAGATGAATCTGCAAAATGTAGGCTTGGTAATTATCTCTGGTCAAAATGGGAAATGTGAAAATAAATAGATTTTTTGCTGGGATATAATTGAACATGTAAGATGTCCTTGGATACTGGAAATACAGAAAAAGGACACACATAGAATAGAACAGAAATTAAAGTCAAACAATACCTGGGAAAACTAGATGAAATAAAAATGGTTGACAAAGGATATCATATTTCATTTACTAAGATATCAGGGATTATTCAATGTCCCATTATTTTCCATGCCAAAAATAAAGAAAAAAAAACCCACTGACAATTATAAATGTAAGGTGCAATTTATTGTAAAATATACCCCAATCTCAGAGATATAAAAACATGAAAGGCCAGGCACAGTGGCTCACACCTGTAATCCCAGCACTTTGGGAGGCTGAGGCAGATGGATCACCTGAGGTCAGGTGTTCGAGACCAGCCTGATCAACATGGTGAAACCATGATCTACTAAAAATACAGAAATTAGCTGGGCATGGTTGTGTGCGCCTATAATCCCAGCTACTAAGGAGGCTAAGGCAGGAGAATCACTTGAACCCGGCAGGTGGAGGTTGCTGTGAGCCAAGATCACACCACTGTACTCCAGCCTGGGTGACAGAGTGAGACTCTGTCCCAAAAAAAAAAAGGAAAAAAAAGTGAAAAAATATGTCTTAGAGCCAATGATATATAGTGTCCTTGACACTAAAAATACAAAAATTAGCTGGGCGTGGTGGCGCACACCTGGCATCTCAGCTACTCAGGAGGCTGGGGCAGGAGAATTGCTTGAACCCAGGAGGCAGAGGTTGCAGTGAGCCGATTGTGCCATTGCACTCCAGCCTGGGTGACAGAGTAAGACTCCATATCAAAAACAAAACAAAAACAACAACAAACAACAAAATAATATCTCACCAGTGTGGGCAACTTGGGAGGCTAAGGTGAGAGGATTCCTTGAGCTTGGGAGGTAGAGGCTGCAGTGAGCTACTCCATCCTGGGCAATAGAGCAAGACCCTGTCTCAAAAAAAACCCCAAAAACAAAAAACAACAACCAAAACCAAATGCACAAAAGTATTATGTCACCTATAAAATTAGCAAACAGGAAGTACTGTATAATACTAATTGTTGATGGGGAGCCTGTAAGATGAAGATACACTCTCTCATACTCAGGGAGTGGGAATGATCAACAAACAAACTTCATGGAGGAAGTGTCCCTCTCTTTATTTCTACGTATGGCCTGGGAGACAAAGGAGAGCCAGCAAACCTTAAATCTGCTTATAGTCTCTGCTTCTGTCATCCCCTTCTAGGAGACTATTTTTAGGAGTGAATCAGAAATTGGACAGGGATTTATACATAAAGATGTTCGTTATAATATTACTTGGGTCAAAACTAGGGAAATTAGTAAATAAATTATGGTAGTTCCCTGTTCTTGAATATTTTCTGTTTACTCTGAGTTTTTAATGACATGGAAAAGTATTTTTGATACAACGTAAGGCCAAATAGGTAGGACACAAAATCAGACATACACTTTGATCACATTATTTGAAGAGAAATCTATTGGGAATAAAACTGGAGGAAATATGCCAAAAATGTTAATGTTATTTGCCTCTGTGTGATTTTTCAAATTGTTTCTTTACATGTTTCTATAAATTTCAAAGTGTGTCAATTGTTAACAGTTATACTTTGATAAGCAAAAAAAAAAAAAAAAGTGGAAATCTGGGGAAATAAAAACTAGACTATGTTCTCCCTCATGAAATAAGGTTTAAAGGGTTTCCTGATTATGGGACAGAATGAAATATTTTCTATTAGAAGAGCATTGAATATAAACAGTGTTTTCCAAGTTCAGTGTCTTGAAGATGAGCCAAAGAGTGATCTAGATATCGTGGAAATGTACTACATTGTTAATTTAACTGACATTGCCCTGTTGGAAGGAAATAATATTCCAATAAGTTTATAGCCCTCCAAGGAATCTTAAAAAGTAATTTATTTACTCTAACCAAAATGACCAAACTGTCAATACATAAGCAAGGGAGTTACATCTAAAATTGTATTTTTGTGGAGTTTGTTTAGTGAAGGAAAGTTTTACACTTCTACTCCTTGGTTTGTTAATTAGGATTATTTCAAGTTATTGTCTTTGATGTTAAGATAACCAGGGAAGACAACAATTACAGAGAAAACATTTCCTTCCCTCCTGCATGTTGAAGATGTGTATTTAGAGAGACTTATTTTCAATTTTATTTCACAGGGATCCCCAGGGCCATATGGAGCAAAGGGACCCAGAGGAATTCAGGTAAGGGGGTTAAAACCTAAGTCTGGATTAGGATCACCTGGGGAGATTTTAAACCACCCCCTTGCCCACTTGCACCCTCTGCCAATTAAATCAAAGTGTGTGGAGATTGAAGTCAGGCGTTAATATTTTTTAAGATCCCCAGATGATTCCAATGTGCAATAAATTTTGGAAATGCCTTCCCTAAAGTTTTCATTAAGTTAACTAAGACTCCCAGAGATAGATACCAACAGGCAAATATTAGTGAGTAGCTAACAGGGTGAAGTTAAAAAATTAAGAATCTGGAAAGACAGAGAAAGTCAAAGTGGTTAAAAGCAGGATGTAAGTATTTTTGCCTGCTACTATAGTGTAGTTCGAAAAGTTATATATTTTAATCTAAATCACAGTATTTATATTGTTCTATAACTACAGGTAATGTTCTATAATAGGGACTGATTCTCTAAGGCATTTAAGTTGGACATCCATAGATTTCAGAAAATAATTTGAATATTTTTCTAGCCTAGGAACTTGTCTAGAGTTATAATGGTGATCTGTGTGAGGAGTTAATTTCAGTATTTCAAGAAGCCTACAGAAAATTATAATTTTACCCAGAATTTCCTAGACACCATCCAGTTAACCACTAACTTTTTGCTTTACTCTGGAAATGCCAGAGCCACGCAGTAATTCTGGTTATTACAGGTTCTTTGGAAGCTCTAACTTCAGTTACATATGCCTTAGATATTTTTAAAAAGAAGAGGTTTAATAGGTAAAATCTTTTTTAGAAAGAGTCAAGAACGTTGGAATAACGTTGAAAATACAGGTTTATTAAATAAACATCTTGTTAATTAAATGTTTGCTCTTAGCATAAGTGCTATTTTAGAAGCTACTTATTTGACACAAATTTTATCTCATTCCATTTCTCAATTGAATGTGATTTCAATTTAGCTCTGTTACACAGTCTAATTTCTAACACCAGGATCTACAGGGACCCTAAAGAATGATTCATTCCTGCTTGGCCTTTTGTACTCAGAACTAATTCTTGGTTTTCATCTTGGAGCAGGGAATTAGTGGACCTCCAGGAGATCCAGGCCCAAAGGGGTTTCAAGGCAATAAGGTAATCTTACCCTTTGGTTAAAGACAGGCCTTTCCCCTAGTGCACCATGGTAATGCATGTTTTATTAGGTAAAAGTCAATGGAATCTTTGAGGAAGTACCTTTGGAAATGCAGAATAACCTGCAGATAGGTACAGAGAATCAAGTCCAAGTGCATTCAGGAAGTCAGCAGCATACCTTTATCATTTATTATTATATTAATCAAACGGGGGCATTATTAACTATAAGCCATCATCTAGAATCTTTGCCGTGTTTGCTTTTTAATCCTGACCTTTATTTATTTTATGGCTTATTAGAAACAGAAAAGCAATAACTAGCGACACAATTCAAACCACTCACTCTATTTCCGAAATGTAATGTCATCTCAATATACAGTTTATAGGGGAAGGAAATTTACAATTGCTATATCAACAGAAATCAAGCTTTTTTAAATTACAGGGAAATCTCAGCCATCAGGACCATGCTTGTAATATCATTCCACAGAAAACCAGCCGAGACAGATAGGGAGGGGTTGAATATAAGCCATATAGAACAAAAAGATGCTGATAGGAGGGATCTTTAAAAGGCCTGGTTATAAGGCTCTCTTTTCCAATGAGGGTGACCATTAATTTGCTAAAACAAGCTTTTTAGTCCCTTTTTTAACTCCTCTAAATGTTTAGTAAATTTCACAGATATAGTAAATATCCAGTAAACAGTGTCGACTTAGTGATTTGAGTGGTATGGAATTTATGGCAGTAATAACAGCAGAAGATGCTGTCCTCAACTTAACCTACAGAAAACCAGCTTTTTAAGGTTGATATTAAATTGAAGTTTTAGGGAGCAATTAGGCTACTTGAGAGAGAGCAAAGAGAGTGACAAGCATAGTATTTTTAATGAGATAGTGACAGTGTGTGATTTATCAGGCCACTTTTAATTGGCAAATTAAAATAGAATGGGCTTCTCAGCAGGCATGTGCTTAGGCTTCATTTGAGAAAATGTCTTTTTCACATCTTGCCTATGATTAATCTCTCTGGGGAAAGAAATGGTCATGTTGAATACTGATGAGCAGTAGTTTTCATAAAATTGTGTTGGCTACAGGTACAATCCTAAAGCAAAAAATATATATTTTGACGGTCAACACAATTTTTAGAATTCTTTAGTTACCTAAGATAATTTTCATGTTTGTGAAAAAGAGACTTAAAATCAGGGATCAGAACTAGGGTTTGCAGTAGTGATAGAATTATAGAATGTTTGAGCCACAAGGGATGTTAGACATCATACTGGCTTAACATTTTCATTTTGGAAATGAGAAATGAAGCCTGGAGATCCAATGGCTTGCCTGAGGCGGAGTCCCAGCCAGGTCCCATCACCTGTGGAGGGCACTGGGGTGGTCCTGGCCTGGAAACAGTGCCTGAAGCTTTGGATGATGCAGGCTGTGGCAGTGGTGGTGGTATAGTAGGGAAGAGATCCAAAAGAATGTGCTCTTCCTGGGCAAGACCAGCCTGGGTAACATGGTGAAACCTCATCTCTACTAAAATACAAAAAATTGGCTGGGTATGGTGGCATGCACCTGTAGTCCCAGCTACTTGGGAGGCTGAGACAGGAGAATCGCTTGAAACTGGGAGGTGGAGGTTGCAGTGAGCTGAGATTGGATTGCACTCCAGCCTGGATGATAGAGCAAGACTCTGTCTCCAAAAAAAAAAAAAAAAAGGTGCTCCTTCTCACTCTCTCTCTCTCTCTTTTTATTTTTAGAGACAGGATGTTGCTTGGTTGCCCCAGCTGGAGTACAGGGGCATGATCATAACTAATTGTAACTTGAACTCCTGGGCTCAAGTGATTCTCCTGCCTCAGCCTCCGAAATAGCTGGGACTGCAGGCACACACCACAGTGTCTGGCTAAATTATAAAATTTTTTGTAGAGATGAGCTCTCACATTACTGTCCAGTCTAGTATGATCTGGAATGCCTGGCCTCAAGGGATCCTTCTGCCCTTCAGCACGTCCCAAAGTGTTGAGATTACAAGTGTGAGCCACTGTACCTGGCCCAATTCTTTATGTCTAATAGTCTTATAACTTAGGACTATAAATCATTTCAATAAAATTTAGCTTTTAATTTCAACTGTTTATTAATTTTTAATAATGCACCAAATGTGTTTTTTTGGGGGCGGTTGGTTATAATTTTTCTGACATAGTAGCACTTGGTGGTTGACTTTTACAGCATAATCATAAAAGGAGTCATTTTTCCAAAACCATTTGAGCACTTCATCAATTTCTCAAGGGCCTCTCTTTTGTAAAATATACATGACATAAAATTTCCACTTACATTTTAATCACAAAGTTCACTGCCAAGTGAACAAAGTTCATTGCCAATTGAAAAGTTGTCAATTTCTAGAGAATGTTGGGGATTGCTGGGAGGCTATGAAGTGGGCGTGAGTTCCCCCTTTTCCCTCTAGTTGTGGTTCTGGTTTAAGGTCTTGACTCTTACTTTGACACTATTACTAACGTCTATATAATTTTTACTACTCTTTGGATCTGTTAGCCGGAGATTCATGTCACATTGATCATTAGCTTTGTTTTCATGTTATACATTTATTAGTGTACTGTCATAAAAGTCAGTTTTCAGGGAATTATTTCATCTTGCCACCTAGAATATACTATACTTTGAAGACATAATAATCTATTTTGTTCCTCAATCTGGAAATAATATTTTGTAGTGACATTTCTTTTTATACATTATCATTTTATCAGACAATTTTAAAAGAAACTGCTATTGCAATTTCTGCAAAGAAACTGTCTAAAATTCAGTAATTTTTTATTCTTTAATGGGTACAAGGAAGATTATTTTAAAACTTCTATAATAGTTAACATTTATTTTTTACGTATTTATTTGTTGGGGTCACCCCACATTGGGCACCACTGTCAGGGCCACAACCTGCGGGGGTCTGTCCTACAGACCCTGACTCAGCTGAGGATGAATGAAGTACACTGACACACAGATACTGTGCTTTGCTACTTTGGCTGAGGGTCTGTGCCAGTTACAGACTCTCTGGAGAGTGCTGTGAAGAGATAGTAGCTGCTGGCCCCCACCAGCCAGTGAGACTTGCATTTGTTTAGCAAAGTTTAATTGACAAAGGCTTGAGTTGATGCCACTAGAGTGAAGAGATTAAAGGATAGGTTCTGATGCCCAAAGCAAACACCATTAGAGGGTAATCTCCCTGGTCAACCTCCCCCCAGCTCCCTGAGAGGGACATCCTGCTCAAAGGTTGGTTTTAAGACCACATGAATAAACAAGTTAGCTAGGTAGATTACTCCCATTCCTTTGTCTTTGTGCCCTAATCTCTCTGGCTCCTGCAAAGAGACTTTGGCTGCGTTCAGCCAAGAACTATAGAAAAAAACCCTTAGGCCTTCCAAAAGGATTTGAGACTATATTCTATAACTTTCTCTAATATTTTTCCCTTAATATTTTTGCCATCACCCTGAGTGGATCCCTACATTTATTATGTATAGGTATGGTTTTAAATACTCATTTAATACTAGCACCACTTTTTGACACATGATCTATTCTTATTTCCTTTGTACAGATTAGTCTACTAAGTCTGTAAGACTACAGAAACCCAGAAGCCTGCTCTTAGCTACCATATTATATCCCTTTAGAAAAAATTGCTGAATTTCCTGAATATTTGGTCTGAAATAAATGCATTTCTTTTCGACAGTAGGAAAGTTCTATCTGTTTTCCCTTTTGGTAGACTCTGTCTAGGGACAACAGTTTGTTGAAAGGTGCATTTCTAGTGGGTTTTAATGTTCATCTGAAAGTGCAGGAAAAAGAAAGGGAATTTCTTGGGAGAAGAACAACAGTAATGCTAATTGTACATTTTCAAATATTGTATTTCATACAAGACCTGAAAATAGAAATCTTTGTAACATTTGCAAAGATTCCATGAGAGTTTCTAGATGGGGCCTGCCTATGTCTATGAATTTATGAATAGTCTTTCTCTTAATTTATACTTCCTTCCTGTTGCTTTCAGGATTGGCTTTTCTTCATTAAAGGGCTTTCAGAAAAGGTGGCCAAAGAACAAAAGGAAAAAAATAGCATGTGTTAAATCAGGAAAAAATGTGCTCCTGGCCCAGTTTCACAAATTGTTTCTGTTAATAATACTTTCTACATGTAAAGTGGCTCCTAGTCTGCCTTGAATGGCTTTGTTGCCTTAGCAACAAAACGTAGATGTTTCTCAGAAAGAAGCCTTAGCTCAGAGGCCACCTCAGCCTCTACCACACATGAAGGTCATCTTGTGGCATTCATAAGAACATCTCAACACAAGTGCCCGAGAAGTCTTATATCTGAGACCATACTGAAAATGTGACTCAGGAGTGAGCGCTGTGCTCAGAGGAAAGACTGAAGCCCTAAAAACCCAATGCTGCTGCCTTCCATGGGGCGGTCGTGGTGGCTCAGGTTGCAGTCACATCTGATCATTGAAAAAGGCCTTTAATTAGTAGGAAGAACAGCTCATGATTGGTAGGCCTTTCAAATCACAGAGGACAAGTTACCAAAACTAATTTTGAACAATTCAACACAGTGGAACACTGGGTGTGCCCAGCCTATATTAGGTAATTTTTGCCATTTTCTTGATGTCTTTCTGAGGTTATTTCTGAAGGGCATTTCCTTCTCAAATCTCATGCAAATCCACTCTTTCCAAGACTCTCTTTGTGCCTTGGGAGGAGGGACTGCATGGTGGCATGTGCAGGAAGCAGCTGGTGACACTTCAGAGTATCCCAGTGTTAGAGCTTCAAGGCCAAAAGGGCACAAGAAGATATCCCTGATGTTTTTTCCCAAGGGAAAGTACCATATGCTAATCCTCAAGCAGTTAGAAAATGCTGCAATATTATATATTTATTTATCTTAAAAGATGAATTGTCTCCCTTCTGCTAACTCCTTTTATTGTTACTTTAGGATGCTCATAATATTCCTGCAGGATATTCGTCTTAAGTATTTTCTTCTTGCTGTATAGTCAAGGATAAGAAACTTAAC